GGGGAGTGAGCATCTGCCTTTACTGCTTATTTCCACTTCCGTTTGGGCCGGTGCCTAGATGCTTTGCTTTCCATACACACAGCGCCAATCACCAGCTATGGCTGCTCAGAGAGATGCATTTTTACATTTCTGTTGGAGACCAGTGAAGAGTTCCCTGTGGCCAGCTCTGAAACTTGATCTGCAAGCGTGCCTTTGTGAAATGGGGACTACGTCAAGCATTTGGTGCTGTCCTCAGGTGCTTTAAATTCTGCATTTGGATATTGCTGTCGTGAAAAGTAAAGTTTGTACAGCTGCCTACGAGGGCCATGTTGGAGGCTCTGGACCCCGTCTCAGAACCAAAGCTGGGGACAGACAGCATAAAAAAGTATAGACGAAACTGAAAGAATGCCACATTGTGACATCACGCTAGCTTGCGTTCCAGTTCAAACAAAAAATCCGTGATTGTCTTCAGGAGGCATGGAGATAATGGGAGTGATCTCTGTTGTAGAAGAACACAACGTTTTATGGGATCCCTAAGGGAACTGAGGAATTGTTTGGTTAGACCAGAGGTGAACTCAGGCCAGGTGTCAACCCAGAAAATACGGTACAATATTTAGCCACACTGAGATTGGAATAATTGAATGGGAGCCACAAAAACAGTTCTTTCAAAACAATGAAAAATGTGCAATGTATATAAGGAAAACTGTTTAAATATGTACATAAAAGAATTACACTGAAAACCTATTAGAATGGATACAATTAAAAAGACCCACCACACCATACGTTGGTAAGGATGGGGATAGATTGGAACTCGCAGACACTGCAGGGAATGTAAAGGGCTGTAGCCACTTTGGAGCAGCCAGTTGGCAGTTTCTTAAAAGTTAAATAGACAGTTATCATCCCACACTAGTTACTGATCCAAGAGAAACAGATCACTTTTGTTCATACAAACACTGGAACACAAATGTTCATAGCAGTTTCGTTTGTGCTAGTCAAACACTGGAAGCAGCCCAAGTGACCATAGAAAGGTGAACGGATAAACCAATTGTGGTATATCTATACAATGGAATACTACTCAGCAATAAAAATGAGTGAACAAAAACCCAAACTGGATGAATCTCAAAATAATTATGTTGAGTAAAATAAGCCAGAACAAAGAGAAAGAGAGAGAGAGGAAACAGACCGTATGATTTAATTTGATACAAAGTTCCATAAAATGCAAACCAATTCTAGTGACAGAGAGTGGATGAGTGGTTGCCCAGGGATAGTGTGGACGGGTAGGCAGGCACAGGTGGGAGGAAGGATTACAAAGGGGCGTGAAGAAACTTCAAGAAGTGATGGACATGTTAATTTTCTTGATTTTTATGGCTGGCTCTATAGGTATATACAATCACCAAAATGTGTCAGATTTTTCACTTTAAATATGAGCAGTTTGTTGTATGTCAATTATACCTCAATAAACCTGCTTTTAAAATGTGTGAGCACATAAAAAGAAAAAAAGAGAAAATATCAACAGTCAATTCTCATTAGATGGGATATAATCTTGGAAAAAATTTTTTAAAAACTCAAATATATTTAACTAGCAAAATAAAAGATGCAAACTAAAATAATGATATATAATTTTCTGTCAAACTTGGGGACTGGGAGATTGTTTTCAAGTGGTAATGGTGTGTGTGTAAACGGTACAACTTTCTTCTAGGGGACACCTTTAGTGACATCAAGTACATATCAAAGCCCTTAAAATTGTTTATCCATTGATCTGGTAACTCTATTGCTCCATTGCTAAGAATGCTTCCTAAGGAAATAATCAAAGATGTGCACAAACACTTGCATGCAAGGATGATGCCTGTTTGCTATCAGATTCATGCCCACTTTTATTGTCCTGTTTCAAATTTTAAAAAGAAGAAAACACATTTCTCAGGCTCTGCTGTCCTTAGGTTTCTGGATAGTTTTCACCATGAGAGGGACTGGCAGAAAATCAGGAGGTTAGAGGATGGGAGAAACGAAGGTCCAGCTCAACTCTCTCTGCTTTTTGTGGCCTCATCAGAAGCAGCTGTCTTTTCTGTGTTTCAGCTACCAGCAGGCAGGAAGCTCTTCCTTGTGATTCCAGCACTTTCCAAGCAGTGCCTGCCAGAGTTCTCATTCCTACTAGATAGTTTTATCTCATAGCTCCTCACATTGTCACTTCACCTCTAAGGTTTTCCTGCTCTCCCTAGATACTGAGTTGCTCACTGATTTTGGCTTCTTGGTGCTTCCACCAACTGAATAGCAAATGCCCTGTATTAAACTCCCTGTGAAATACCTGGGGCGGTGTCTCATTTCCTGGCCAATCTCTGACTAATACAGATATTGATCATAATGATACTTTTCCTACCACAAATTTGAAAATTAGATATCTAGTAATAAGTCATTTAATAAAACGTATTATGGTATATCCAGATGATAGAATAGTTTGCAGACAATAAAATCATGTTTTCAGAACACATTTAAGGAATTTTTTAAATGTGATATAAAATTGTATAACAAGCACAATTGTATGATAAGATGTTTTTTAAATGAATTATTTATTGCTGGTGAGAATGTGAAATGATACAGCGACTCTGGAAAGTATGGAGATTATATATATATATATATATATATTAAAGTTAAATATTTGCCTACCTTGCTTAGTCACCAGGTTACTAAGCAAATGCTGCCATTTCTTTGTTGGGTCCATTGTAATCTAGTCCTGTGTAGACCTAAAGACTTATGTTCACACACATATTTATCTATCTCAATGTGGCATTGTTTACAAAAATGGGTTTGTATATATAAGCTTTTTGCATCTTGATTTTCACTCAGCAATACCTTGTATAAATTCTTTTGAGTTATCAGGTATAGTTCTCTCTTATAACATTCCTTATGAAGTGTTAATAACTGTGTAACATTCATTATGAAAGGGTACCATTATTGTATTTATAATGAGGGCATTTGCTTTATTTCTACCTTTTTACCACTACAAACAAACAATAGCACATGTGTTTTCAGGTATGCTGGGGCTTTCATTTTAATAGGACAAAGTTCTGGGAGTGGCATTTCTTGGCCAGATGGTTTAGAGCCCCGCCACTCCTCAGGGCTGCCGCCGGGCAGGGGCGGGAGGCAGCAGGGTGCCCAGGCGGGCGGCTGGGCCTGCGGCTTCCTCTCCAACTCCTTCATTCCCCCACGTAGCAACACGGTCACTGTCCACGAGGGAGCCAAGATACGCGCCTAGGGACGGCCCCTGGATAAAAAGGCTGAGGTTTGGGTCCCCTGAATGACTGTCCAGGCCTGCCCATGCCACTGGCCACCTGCGCTGAGGCACTGCTGCCACCAGGTGCTCTGTGCCCGGCATGCCCCCCACCCCCAAAAGTGGTGGAATTCTTCCTGGAGGCAGGAGGAGACCGAGACCGGAAGATGACAGCCTTGGAAGGAGGGGTGGTGTCCATGGCACCCGGGTCAAAGGCCGGCGCGGCCGAAAGCGCTGCAGAGGCCCTGCCCACCAGAGTGGGGGCGACTGGAGGAGCCGTGGTGGGGAGGCTCGCGAAGACAGGGGCCCTGGGAAAAGGGGCTCTCACCCGCTGCCCAGCAGGGCTCCCGAATGTGGGCTGACGGGTGGGGTGGCGGGCCACAGGTGGAGGCGGGTTGACGGGGACTCTGGTCTTTGCAGGGATGGGGGATGGATCACATTAGGGGTTGGGGCAGAGGTGAAAATATGAGCTGCAGAAGGGGGAGTTGTATCCATGTCAGTGACCTCGGGGTCTAAACGAGGTTGCTGGGTCACGTGGGCAGATGGGCTGCCTCGGATGGTTGACTTGGCTGCTGCGGGAGAGATGCATATGCTGGTGAGCAAAGCAGGGTTCCTGGCGGAAGGGACTAGAGGACCAGAGGGGAAGGAAAGAGTAGAATGGGTAGGGAATGAGGAGGGTTGGGGAGGGAGGGAGGAGGAGGGTTGGGGAGGGAGGGAGGAGGAGGGTTGGGGAGGAGGGAGCACGAGGGGAGTCCACACTCACTCACGGGGGTTGGGGACTCAGTTCTGCAGCGGGGCAGCGTGCAGGAGAAGGGCAGGGGGCCAGGAGGCGCGGGCAGGGGGGAGACGGGGAAGCCTGGGGGACAGGGCCTCCGCTCCCCTCAGGGGGGTTCCCCGCAGCAGCACGGGCCCTGAGGGGAGGAGGCAGGTCAGCAGGAACGGGCGGAGGGCAGCGAGGGGTTGTGAGTGTGGTGGAGGACGGCGGAGGGACAGGAACGATCAGAGGGCCAGCAGCCAAGTGGGGGCGGGGAGGGGCACTGGGAGGGGAAAGGATGGGGACGGGCGGGGGGCCGGGCGCGGGCCATAGGAGCGGCAGGCGGGGCGAGCGCAGGGGCAGGCCGGGCGGCCCCGAAGCTTCCCCGGGCCTCGGTCTTCTCCTCCAAGACCTCTGCTTCGCCCCGCACGGTGTCGGTGTTTCTTTGACCCCCAATGCCCTCCACCAAGGCGCCTCGGTCTTGCTCCGCAGCTACGCCAGGAAGCCCCGCAGGTGGGGGCAGCTCGCCTCGTCCGGTCCCGTGACGGCGGCAGCAGCGCAGGCGGGGGCGGCGGCAGCAGCAGTGGCATGGTCATTGTCCTCTTGAGGGGCCTCTTCCCGGCGGCTCTGCGTGGAGAAGAGCTGCGAGTCGACGCTGACGCGGGCGCCTGCAGGGAGCCTGCAAGGCCGGGCCTTGGTGGCGCCGGGGCGTCCCCACCGCCGGAGCGCCTGGCTTCCTGTCCAGGCCCGGGGTCTCCACGAGGTCTTCCGCGGCCTTCTGGGCCTGCTCCTGCTCGTCCTGCTCCTCCCCCTCTGCTGTCGCCTGGGCCCACGCCTCCTTCTGGCCAGGCGTGGGGAGGTGTCTGGAGGTCATAGGCCTTGCAGCCCTGACCCCCAGCTCGGGCGGTGCAGGCAGGAGGGTCACCTTGCGGGGCCGGAGAGGAGGGATCCTGACGGTTCTGGAGCGTCCGGCCATCAAGGAGGCAGGAGACAGCACCCCCAAGCTGTGCTGGGAAGGATGCCCAGGGGGGAGCTCGTACCCTGCGGGAGAGGAGCCCTCCTCCTAGGGGCAATGAAGAAGCCCCCAGATAAAGGCCCGCGACCCGTACTGGGGGTGGACAGCCTGCGCACAGGGCGCGAGGCGGGCGCAGGAGCCGCGGAGTGGGCGCGGACCGGCGCGGTAACATCGCGGGCCACAGGGAAGGGGGGACGACGGCCCGGCTGGGGCCGCCGGACGTCGCAGAGGCTTGGCTTGCTAAGCCAGCTGCCCATTTTGGGCAAATTGTGCACAGTGAGGTTCCAACGAGAAGAGGAACTGGAGACACCTCCCCTAGCGTCTACCTCTCCTGGAGACTGAGCATGCACTGGCTAGCCGGCGCCTGTGACGTCCCAATCGAACTGGCGACAGAGGACGCGCCCTCCATCACGAACGTGGGAGGCGAGCGCGGGGCCCAGCCGAGGGCGCCAAGAGAGGGCGCCAAAGGGCAAAGGGCAACTCCTGCTTCTGGCGGCAGGTGTTTGGCACGCGATGGGCCACTGTGTGCGGCCCGTTGGGAACTGTGGGGGCTCCGTGGGCCAGAGCCCTTCCCACTGGGCGCCGGCTCTGCAGGCTCCAGGGCGCCCGGGCCAGGGCCCGGCGTGGGCTGCCTGTGTCTGTATCGCCGCCCTCTGCCCATCACAGGCGGCGGCAGAGCCTGCTGGAGGCCGAGACGCAGACAACCCGATCCTGCCAGGCTCCTCGGGGACCTCTCCACCCCTCTGCGCCGCCGCAAGGATCGCCAGCCCAGCTGCTAGGGTTTCTGAGAAGGGGCACGGTGCCCACACCGGATTGGCTGCTGCACCTATGACATCCCTTCCGGGCAGGCAGGTTCCGCTCACTTCCTTTTACCAATTGGGTGAAACGCTCGTTCAGCCCTAGAGCATGCCCCAGGTCACGCAGGTGCGAGTGGCCCGGCCAGCCTTGAACCAACCTGCGCGGTTCTAGAGCGGTGCCTCCCGGGCACGCACACTTCATGCAGTACCTTTTTTCCCTGTAGTTTTTAGGGAACTTATGACCATGGCAGAGCTGTACCAAGCACATGCACACGTAGGAAGAGGCATTGTCTTCAACTCAGCTCGAGTTGACCAGGCCCGCACTGGGCTCCAGTCTCCGCAGAAGATGTAGAGCGGGTCCGCCGACTGTCAATACGGCCTCAGCCCACATTTCTCTTCTCATGAAGCCTTGCACCCCAGATTTTCTTTTTGGTCTGGCTTGAAGGATCAAAATATGTAAGGATTATTGTCTACATCAATTTTGGTCTATCTTGAAAGAATTCACCTGTGGCTTATTCCATATGGCTAAGAAGCCAGTTTCTGTGGCCTTCCTGGAATTTGTCTAGAAAGCAAACACATTATTTACAGGTTAATAGTGGAGCACTATATTGGATGCAAAAAGGGTCAACACGATTGGAACATCGTGATCGTGCCAGCAGGATCCACTCTTCACCACACATTATGGTCACCTGAATGTAACTCTAGATATTCTTGTGCCCGAGAGAGGAGACATAACTTTGGGTGTCAGGATAAAGGAAACATGAATCATTGTCCTAAAAGCTGGAAGCTTCAGGATGACAAGAAACATTAGAAAATCCTGCAGGTGACTTTATCTATTTTTATCTTGTTTCTTTGGCTTATTTCATTGGAATATATTTCTCATTCAAGGGGCCGATGATTTGTTTCAGACATACGACATGCAGAAGTTTCAGAATCAAGGATCGGAGATCAGTAAAAATGTGTTTATACATTTTTTAATTTTGAAAAGATCTGTTTAAACAACATGGGGCATAATTAATGTATTACAAAATTGGTTTTAGCCCTTTGCTCATAAGATTCCTTTCACAGTGTGTCTCCCTGCCTGTGCTCTGATGCCATTTGACTTTTCCTTCTCACACACAGGAATGATTCTAAAATCTACATATAATTTTGTCGTCTTTTTGCTTATGATCCTTTCATGACTCGTCACACTTCCAGGAAAATAGACCAATGCCCCAGTGCCTCAACATGGCAGGTAAGTTTGTCCCCACTCAGCCGTCCCTTGTCATACGGTACAGGTGCAGCTCCCAGTTTTGTCTTCACTCTCATCCACATCAGGCCACCTTTCTGGGTCACACTGGTCTTCTCCCTTCCCTAACCTGTTGAAAGCTATTGATTTGACCAGGAAATAGTCCTTCTCCACTTGTGACTGTCCCCTTCTCCTCGAAGGCGCAGTTCATGTTCATCCCCCCAGAAGTAATGTCTTCTTACCTGCCCCTATATCCCAGTGCTTTCCCAGCCATTTGGATTTTTGGCCCAGCCCTCTGTCTTCCCCACTACACTGTAAATTTGTCTGGGACAAAAAGATGTCTTTCAGTTCTATTCCTCTACAGCCTACCAGAGTTTAATGTAGACTTACCATTGAACAAATGTTTAATGAAATTATTTAGAAGCTGAGGGAAATGTTTATACTTTGCTCTCTTTCCCATCTTCAGATAGTAGTTTCCCTGGGTTGTAAAATGCCTTAGAAAATATTGTATTTTCAGCCATTAAGTCTAGCAAAGACTCAATAGAACTCTAGGTTAACCAAAAATGGGTATATTTAGAACTTTCATGATATGATTTCTTATTGGTTTAGACTAGAGCTAGCCTGGTTATTAAAGAGAATCACTTTTGAACAGCATGATAAATTCTAAATATACTTAAATGTTCAATAATGGCGGAACAGACAGGAGTTTTTCCTTTCTTTGCTCTTCTAGATGCAAGAGGCTGAATGCCAATCTTAGCCTCCCTGAGTGACTTGGGAATGTATGAGGATGGCTGGCCTAAGCTTGAGTTATTGAAAAAGACACACAACAAAGAAACATTTTTAAATACTAATACTAAAATCAGAAAGTGTGTTTCCTGGGAGGAGGGGCCGAGATGGAGGGCTGGAAGCAGACTGCACACGCTGCTTTCACGGAGAAGATGGAAAGTGTTCAGGGGATATTCACTTTCAGATTGAGGATCTGAAAGAGAACGTTGGGAATCAATATAAAGGAGACAGGAGGCTCCCAAAGGGAAGGGGAGGGAAGGGATGCAGCCCACTCTGTGGGGTCAGAGGGAAGGTATCTGCGTGTGGAGAAGGGACGGAGGAGGCGCCCTCGGCTTCACTCCTGTGCACTCTGCAGTCTGAGCGGTGTGGCGGACCGTGCGCCGTAGCAGGCTGCCAGACTGGCAGAGTCGATGGAGACTGTGCCGTGGCCCAGCTTTGGTGAGAAGTCTCCGCAGGGCCCCACGAGCAGGAACCCTGGGTGGCATGGCTGGAGCCATTTGGAGACCACAGACCCAGAGCGCTGTATCTATTAGGGGTCAGATCAGCCATTGCTACTGCCTCCCCAGTGCCCCACCAGGCCAGGGAGGGAGCAGAGAGGCCGGGTGCTCCTGCATGTCCCATGGCCAGGTGCCATGTGCCCCCACCACTGATGGCGGACTTGGGTAGTGTGAAAGATTGGGCCTCCATGTGCTGGTCTCTGCTGCCACTGATGATCTTGGGTTGGGCAGTGCTGAAGCCACCATGGACCGATGAACACTGCTGCCCACAGACATGAGTGGGGCAGCACCAAGGTAGACACGAGCAGACAATTGCCACTACCACCCACCATCTTGAGCAAGGCAGCACTCAAGCTGCCCCAGTCCGACAAACGCTGCTGCCCATGGACCTGGGCAGGGGAGCACTTGAGCCCAGTTGTTGCGTGCAACAATTATCACTGCTGACAGAACTAGGCAGAGTGATCACTCACTAGAGCATGTCAGCTGCCTATGACAACCACAGAGCAATGGTGAAATGTGAGCTATATGGCAGCAATGCTAAAGGCTTGCAGTGCATCCACCTTGTCTTGCCTGGTCAGTCACCCAGAGTAGGACCCAAGTGCACCATCTGGGGACCTCTCTATCTCTTGACTAAGAGAGTTTCCCACAGAGGAGAACAGGTGTACCACAAACCTGTCTGTTTTGAGCTAAGATGGGTTTCATATGAAAAGGAACCAGCACAAGAAACCTGTACCAGGAAAAAAACAAGCTTTCACACCCCCAAAGTATCACAGTAGTTCTCTAGCAATCGATTCAAACCAAAATAAAATTGTCAAAATGTCAGATGTGGAATTCAGGATATGGATGGTAAGTAATATCAACTGGATTGATGAGAAAGTTGAAAACCAGCACAAAGAAACAAACAAACAAAAACACACACACACACACACACACACAAAAGAAATGTAGGACATGAATGAAAAATCCACTGAAGAGATAACATAAGAAAAGATATAACATAACTTAATGAAATGAAAAAGTAATTTATGGAATTCAAAATACAGTAGAAAAGTATTAACAACAGACTAGACCAAGCAGAAGAAATAATTTCTAGAGCTTGAAGACAAGGCTTTCAAATTAACCTAGTCAGTCAACAATTTAGAAAAAAGAATAAAGAATAATGAGCATTACTCTGAGAAGTATGAGATTATGTAAAGTGAACAAATAAAAAAATCATAGGTATCCCTGAGAGGGAAGAAGTAAAAGCAAAAAGTATGTGAAACCTATTTGAGGGGATAATTGAGGAAAACTTCGCTCGTATCTCTAGCAATTTAGGAATCCAAATACAAGAAGGTCCTCAGACACCTGGAAGATTCATGGCAAATAGAACATCACCAAGGCACATAGTCATCAGCCCGGCCAAATCAAAGTGAAGGAGAAAATCCTACAAGCTGCAAGACAAAAAAAACAAGTAACTACAAAGGAAAAGCCAGTAGATAGACTTCTTGGCAGAAACCTTACAAACCAGAAGGGATTGGGGTCTCATTTTTAGGCTTCTTAAGTAGAATAATTTCCAGACAGGAATTTTTTATTTGGCAAAACTAAGTTATATAAATGAAGGAGAAATAAAGTCTTTGTTAGATAAGCAAACATTAAGGGAATTTGTTGCACTAGACCTACCCTATAAAAAAAATGCTTGAAAGTGCTCTATATGTGGAACAGAACAATCAGTACCCACCAGTGTTAAGAACATTTAAAAGATAAAATTCACAGCTCTTATAAAGCAGTAATACAAGGGAGAAAAAAACTAGGTAATAATCAATATGATGAAAATAACAGTATCTCATATATCAATGGTAACATTGAATGTAAACAGGCTTAGTACTCCACTTAAAAGATATAGATTGGATGAATGGATAAAAAAATATAACCAAAATATATGTTTTCTCCAAGAAACCCATTTAAGTTGTAAAGACTTGCATAGACTCAAGATAAAAGGATGGAAAAAAAATATTCCAATCAAATGGAAACCAAAAGCAAGCAGGATTAGCTATTCTCATATCATATAATATGGCTTTAAATCAATAATGATAATAAAAGACAAAGATGGTGATTATATAATGATAAAGGGAGCAATTTAGTAAGAAGTTATAACCATCATAAATATGTATGAGTATTTCTTGGGGTACTGAGGTACCCTAGGGTAGGGAGGGATGGCAGCCTCTCCCCCACTTATTCCAGCTGGGAGAGCAGTGTGAAGGAGGCAAGCAGCACCCTCTCTCCAGTGAGCAGGTACTCCAGGCTGAGGCATCCACAAAGAGTGGGGCCCATATCTCTTCCTCTGTGGACTTTTAGTGGACCCAGGGTCCCAGTCAGTTTGGGAGTTCCCTGCCTGCCAGTGTTTCATGAAGACACGTGCTAGTGGGACAGACATACAGGTGGTGGGATGGGGAGATGTGAGAGCTGAACAATCAGATTGTGAATCTCAGGTGGCCCTGTCTCCACAAGCAGACTTTCTGGCTGGGTGGGGGCACTTCAGCCCACCCAGGTGGCTTTCCCCAAAAGCTGGGAGCAGATCTTTGAACCCTGCTGAAATAGCTACCTTACCAGCCTTTGTGGAGCCTGAGGGCAAGCCCACCCAACCCCAACCCACCCAGCCTCACTCCCCTACACACCTCTGTTGAGGCAGAGAATACGGATACACTTGCACACTTGGAAGTTCCAGGTCTTCACCCACCTGGGGCATTTAAGTGCTCTACCTGAGGGACTAGAGTCAGGCACAAAAACAACACAGCAGCCTGTTGCTTCTGGCAAATGCCACCTACTGACAGAGAGGTCAATTTGCATAGCCCTTTATAGCATTTACTGACTCAGTCATACAGCGTGAGGTTTTTTCTCATCTACAAGTACCACCTACTGTCTCAGAGATTAAACTGGGCATGCCATTACAATTCACACTGCTAACATGGCCACAGGACTAGGGATAGAGGAAGGAATCCAATGGCCTCCATCCTGTCTCATCAAAGAGAAACATCCTGTCTCATCAAAGAGAAACATGGAATCTGCTCCCACACATAGCTCAACACTGTTACAGCCTACAAACAACTAGCAACTTAGAGAAGCATCACACGATGCATCTCCATAACTAAGGCATCTATCTGGAACTTATATCACCATCAAAGAATCCACAAACCAAGCCAAAGGTTCTTACCCAACATATGCTACAAACACCCCCATATGAGTGAGGTGGGGGGAAGCCCCATCTAAACAAAAGAAAATCAAAATTAAGTAGCAACAACCGCTCCAGATGAGAAGGAATCAGCACAAGAACTGGAAGTATGAAAAATCACAACAAAAGTTCTCCTCAAAAAAGGATACTAACCTAAATGAAAATACTGAAATGACAGATAAAGAATTCCAAATATGGATTATAAGGAATCTCAGTGAAATCTGAAATGGAAAATGGAAAACCAAATCAAAGAAAAGAAACCAGAAAAACAATTCAGGAAATGAATGAAAAATTCACTGAGAGATCGATGGGGTAAACAAACAAACAAACAAACAAACAAAAAAAGAAAAAACAAAACTACTTCTGGAACCAAAAAATTAATTTAAGGAAATACAAAACACAGTGGAAAGTTTTAAGACTAGATTAGAGCAGGTAGAAACAAGAATCTCAGAACTTGAGATTAAATTAAATCAGTCAGTCAAAATAATGAACAGATAATTAAGAGGAATAGACAA